CCAGTGCTGACCAGCCCCCCTCCCCAGCCTGGCGGTCCTCCTGACCCGCAGCAGCTGGCCCTGGTCTCCTGGAGGACTGCGTGGGCGTCTCTTGGGGAAAGGCACCTCACGATTGCCCCCAGCTTGCTCGTCCTCGGCGCTGGCTCCATCCTCGTCCAGGCCTGGACGGAAGGATACAGGGGGGTGGGCTTCCTGCGGCCGTGAGAACACATGGCCACACGTTTAGTGGTTAAAAAAACACACGTTTATTCTTTCACGGGAGGGGTGTTGGGAGAGGAGAAGTTGGGGTCACGCCAGTGGCTATGCTCTCCTCCCATTCGGGGACCCAGGGGAGCAGGAACTCAGCCCTCGCCCTGCCCAGGGTGTGGGGTCACTGGGGAGATGGGGTGCGGCTGACCCTGGGACCCACGTATCTTTGTTGTGTTTTTGTTGACGGGAAAGTCACCTGACCCAAAACCAGCCCCTTTAAAGTGAACAACTCAGTGGCGTTCAGCACATGCGGCGTTGGGCTGTGACCACCTCTCTCATTCCGGAACTTTCTAACCCCTCCCCACCCCCGAGGAGGCCGGCCTCCGTGAAGGGGCCAGTCTGCATCCCCTCCCGCACCTGAGAAGCCCTCCCTGCGTGGTGTGTTGCGCGGTGTGTTCCGGACGCCTTGTGGGAAGGCATCGCCGCGCCGGGCACCTTGGGCCGGCTTCTCGCGTCTTCTTGCTGCTTCCACGCTGCAGCCCGCGTCAGAGGTCCGGTTCCTGTCTGTGGGCGGGCTTGTCCGTCTGCAGCCCCCATGCGCAGGGGCGCCGTGAGTGTGCGAGTCCTTGTTGGGTTTCTTCGCGCTCCTGCCTGGCGTGGGGTGCTGGGTTTGTGGGTGTCGCTGTGGGAGGACCTGCAGACCACTTTCCACAGCCGCTGTGGCCGAGGCTCGCGCCCGAGGTTCCGATTTCGCCACATCTTCGCCAACACTTGTTATTTTCTGGTTTTAACAGCCGGCCCGGCGGGTGTGAGAGGGCTTCTCGCCGCGGGCTTGGACTGCCCTTCCCTGCTGACGTCTCGTGGGGTCGTTGGCTGTCTGTGGGTCTTCTCGGGGGGACATCAGTGCAAGTCCCCTGCCCATCGTCACGGCGGGTGAGCCGGGCTTGTCTGAACAGGGACTGTGTCGGCTACGGTCTGAAAGTACAACCAAATTTCAAAATAAAACCTAGATTTTGTTTCATTTAAAGATTCGTGGAAGAGTGAAGTGACCAGGAGCCAGGTTTTGCTGTCAGCGCAGCGCTGGGGAGAGGGGCACCGAGGCAGGGGTGAGGGCAGCCCCCACCTCTGACTGTGACCTGACCCTCCGAGGGCCCTGGCCCTGCCTTGCCCCTGCCCCCTCCAAACAAGACCCATCCACTGCCCCAGCTGTCTTGTGGTCGATCCAACGATTGACCGGTTGATTGAATGATTGACTCACTCATTCATTCCTTCAGTAGATCCTCTGCATGGTGAAGATGGGAAGGTGGGGGATAGAATAGTCCTGTGTGGGGGCCTTTCCTGAACTAACCCCACAGCATCAGCCCCCACCCTCCCGCCCCCCACGGAGGCCTCCACCAGCGCCCACGGGCCACGGCCCCACTTGACAGATGGGGAAGCTGAGGCTCTGAGAGTTGGAGAGCTGCCTCTCCCAGCCCTGTGGCACCCTCCTCCACCCCAAGGGGTCACTTGGCGGGGCCTTCCTGGGGGCTGCACCCCCCTCTCTTCAGGCTGGAAGATGAGGTGGGAGGCACGTGAGGGCTGCCCCCCACCCGGCCCTGGCCTGGCCGGCGCCCCCAGGGATGGCGCTCCAGGAAAAGCTCTCAGTCAGAAGCACTGCTCCCGGGGGCACTCTCGGCTCCATTACTGTCCTCGAGCTTCCAGGAAACCGCCGAGCTCCAGTGACCACTCGGCCCTCCACTCAGCTCAAGGGGCAAGAGGCCCCTCAGCAAGGCCTGCTCCCCACCCCCAGGCTGTCTCCTGGGGACCCCCTCTGGGATCTGCAACAGCCTCTGAGCAGGGAAATCGTTCCTCATGCCCCCCACCCCCCACCCCGCACCAGCCTCCGGCTCCAGCAAGGGCATCTGCTAGGCCCTCCCATTAGGGCGGAGCCCCCCAGCCTCTCCCCTGCAACACCCCCTTCTCGCTCCCAGGAGAAGCACCCTATCCTCCGGGGGTCCACTGCCCTGACTTCCACCTTCTCTGCAGCCGCCTCCGCTCCATCGGCAGAACTGCTGGGCCAGAGTCCCAGTGCCTCTCGCCCCCGCACCGCAGCCCCCAGCCGGCGGCACCCCACCACGGGGGCCCCACCATCGGCTGGCCTGCTGTCGTGCTGGGGCCGCCTCGCTGTCCCTGGCCCTGCCAGGCCTGGGGGCTCCTCTGGGCCCCACAGAAGCCTCCCCTGACCTCTGACCTACACCGCCAGCCAGGCCCCACCCCTCCCTTCCCCCGACTTCTCCTTCTGGAGCTCTTCCCCACGCAGGGGTGTGAGCTCAGCTCCCCTGATTCTGCACCCCTCCTCCCCACGCCCCACATGGCAGCGGCGGCTCGGACGAGGCTACCGACACCGAAATGATCAAATCAAATCCAAGGTTCGGGTCTGCAGTCTCACGAGCCCCGTTTCGAGACCTCAGCTGCCACACGCGCCAGGCGGCCCAGTTGGGGGGGACAGCGCATTTGCACGTGCAGGAGCCTTCCCCCAGCTGGTGCCTGGCCTGACTCCGTGCCCCGGCGGGTGTGAGACTCCTCCCGCGCCCCTGCTGGTGAATGGACGAGGGAGGCAGGCATTCAGGGCCGGATTCGGCCACGCACGCGAAGAGGCATCACATCACCTGCCACCTTTCTGAGGACGCCTGGGACGAGGGCCCGGGTGGGGGCTTGGCCACCTTCCCAGTCTCTACGACATTTGGCGGTCTCCCTGGGGCGGGGTTCCGTCAGCATCCAAGGCCGGGGACACTGGATCTGTCTTGACTGCCCTGGCAAGGGGCTCTGGAGGACGGCAGGGGCCTGGGCAGCAGCCACACAGGCGGCCACTGCCCGGCACTGCCCCCGCCCTGCGACCTCGGGCGAGTCTGCTCCCTCCGAGCTGCTCCTCCTCACGGAGCGGGGATGGTAGGAGGCCCACCTCTTAGTGATGCTTTAAAGATCAACACAACATCCGCACAGAAGCTCCTGGAATACCCGGAAATGCTGGTGTTGCGGATAAATGAACAGAGTGCTCTGTCCTCTGGCTTTGTCCTTGAGGCCTCGGGGACCCCTGAGGACTGGCCACCCAACCAGCCCTTCTCCTGGGAAGAGGCGGCCCTGGGTCCCCACCCTTGTCTGTGAGTGCCGGGCTGCCATTATGAGGGTGATTACCGAGGTGATTTATGACAGGGTCTGCTCCACACTCTCTCCCCCACCCTCACCACCTTGGAGCATCACTAACAAGAGCCTTTCTGGGGGACAGGCCACACGCCCACCGCCTGACTCCGCCCACCTGCAGGCCCAGCCTTGACCTGACCTCCTTGCCCAAGCTCTGGGCGCCCTCCCCTGCCCACCAGCTGCCCACAGAGTGGACAGGGCAGTGCAGACCCTCCCTCGCGGTCAGGGGCCAAGTGTCTGTCTGGTTTCGGGAAAGCACCTGGACCGCCCAGCTTGAAACCTCGCAGGGTCCCCACCTCCCTGGGGTGAACCCAGGACCCTTCAGCTGGGCCAGTGGGCCTGCGAGCAGGGTCCAACTGTCTCCCACTTTGGCCTCCCAGACCCTCAGACCTTCCCAGGAGTACTGGCCCCGAACGCTGCGGCCCAATCTCCCAGGCCGCACGGCCACCGCTGGCCAGTCATCCCATCCCTCCCCTCCCCTGCGCCCTACGTGGGGATCCCCATGGCACCCCGTATCCCGGGATCCTGCAGCTCTGGATCCTCATGAGGGGATCGGGCACATGGGAGCCTGCTCTGAGGGGCATAGACAGCCCTTCCCCACACCTGCAGCTGGGCCGGGCCTTCGAGGCACGGGAGGAGGGGAGGTTCATGAAATGGCTTTCTGGAACAATAGGGCATCTTGCTGCTTACACTCTAGTGGCTGGGACTCCACGGACAGTGAGGCCGGCGGTGCCCCTGCCTCCCCGTGTGGGGCCTGCACCCCTACCATTGCGGTGCCCCGTCCTGCGTCCTGGGGGCTCCCACGCGGCTCACACAGTGGTGGGGGACGTCGGCCTCCACGTCCAGGCCCCGTGAGGACAGGCCCCTGCAGGCCGTGCCCAGCACATATCCATGACATCATTGCGGCGTGACCCCAGGCTGGGGGCGCTCGGAGAGCGTAGCCAGTGTGAGGACCAGGGTCTCCCGCTCACGCATGCCCCCTGGTTGCAGGCCTGGGGGAGACTGTGGCAAGCCTGGTGGCCTGGCTTGCTGTCCAAGGTGACCTGTGGTCCTCATTTCTCAGAGCTGGCTTGGGAGCCTCCGGAAACCCCGGTGGCTCTGTCGTCACCTCGTCTGGGCCCCCATTCTGGGCAGAAGGGCACCGAGTGGGGTCCTAGGTGGCCTGGGTGGGGCCCAGTCCCTGGAGGCCAAGAGCAGGGAGGAGGTGGCAGGTCTCCCCGCCCAGCCCGAGCCCTGGGCGCTGCCTGGGTCTCCCCAGGGCACCCCTAGGAACAGGCTGTGTGTCCTGGGAGGGCTGCCGAGGCTCCTCTGTACTGGGCTGTGCTAAAAATAGCAGGGGGGATGGCAGGGCAGGGACAGCCGGTGGGAGGCCCATGGGGAGGGGCCGGAGGGGGCCGCGGGGAGCCGCTCAGGCCCAGGACCGGCCGTCAATGGCGCTGGCGCTCCCACCCTGTTCCCGGTGGCCGGCCAGCCGAGGCCCAGCTGACACGCTATTTTTTCCCCTGCTTGACTAAATATGGTCAGGGAGCACAGCCCGAGGGGGCCACTTGGCCGGGGCCGCGTGTTTGGGATGCTTGGCCGGGTATATAAGGACTGCAAAGGTGAGGCCGGCTCCTGACCCGAGGGGGGCCCCCACGCCCGCTCCGGCCCCTCGGGTCAGCCCTCCCCTCCCTTCCCCTCCCCTCCCCCGCCCGCGCGTGTCTCGGCGATGGGCCGTGTGCATGTGTGAGCCCGCACCCCCGCAGGACCGTCCCCTTTTGTTCCGCCCTGACCTCTACCTTGCACTGACCCGGCTGGGGGTGCGGGAGCGTCTGCAGGCACAGCCCAGAGCAGGGAGGGGCTCAAGGTGCACGGCTCGAGGTGGTTCCTCGGTAACTCTGCATCGCCTCTGGTCCCTCCCTCCCTCCCCCTCTCCCTCCCTCTCTCCTCTCAAGATCTCCCTTCCTGCTAAGTCTGCACTGCTGCGGGAGGGCTGGGGGAAGGGCAGGGTGCGGAGGGGGTGCGCGGTGTCTTCTTTCTCTTCGCCTGCCCCCCACCCCCAAGTGCGGACGCCTCGGGAGCTCTGGCCTCCCCCACCCCTGCATTCGCGATTGGCTCCGGGAGAAGGTGGATGGTGCTGGTGCAGCTGCAGCATCTCCCTGGGAGCCACGCGGGCGCATCGTACCGGGAGCCGCGACCCTGCGCCCGCTGCTGCTGCTGCCACCAGCCCGGCCGGAGGGGCTCCGCGGTGAGTCCTGCTCAGCCTGCCCGGACGGCCCCACAAACTTGCCGGCCGCAGCGGCGGGGGTGTGCCTGCTGGTGGGTGGGAGCCGTGGCGCCGGCCGCGTGGCTCCAGCGGGGGTGCTTTGGAGTTTTCTCGCGGCTCGTGGCTCCGTCCGCATTTGGAAAACTGCAGAGCCAGCAGCCAGCAGGCCGGAGGGCGCGTCCAACCGGGATGCACGAACTTTGACATGCGGGCATTTTGCAAGGAAGCGGCTGCCTCCAGATGCCCGGGGTGGATGGGGGGTCCTGGTGCTGGGGTGGGGGCCATGGGGGCTGGGGGAGGGCGCCGTTAACCTGCCCCAGGGCACAAAGCGCTGCGCTGGGAGTGTGGTTAAACTTACCTTGGAACTTGCAGCATTAACCGTGGCGATGCTGGGGCAGGGGGTCCCAAGCCGGCACTGTGTGGCTGCCCCAGGTCTGTCCCGGGTCGGGACTCTGGACTTTTGTAGTTCTCGAGGTCCCCCGCCGGGGTCGGGAGGGTCCCTGTGCTCGGTGCGCACCGCGGGGCTGGGCGGGGACTGGGGGGGGCTCGGTGGGGGATGGGGTGGGGGGTGGGGAGCAGCCGGGGCGTCTCTTGGAGGGAGCATGACCTCCACACAGCCGGGGGCTGGGGGGGTCATAAGTGGAGAGCGCTCGGCGAGTGGGGGCACAGTGCCAGCTTGCTGCCACCCCCCACCCCCATGGGGTCCCTTGGAGGCGGCTGCTCTTGACCTGCCAGGACGGAAAACTGTTTGAAAAGTAGCCGGCGTTCCTGCTTGTGTGGGGCAGAGGCTCCCAGGGCTCTGGCTGGACCTGGGCTGCCCCTCCTGCCCTTTGCAGCCCCCGACCTTCCCCTGAGCTCCAGACTCGGCCTGTGTGAAGGCTGGGGTGGGGGAGTGGGGAGGGTCCCAGGCCTGAGCAGGGCCTCTGAGGCCTCATTTGTCAGAAGGGGGCAGGGAGATTTAGGTGCCAGACTCCCGTTCTCATGTGAGGGTCTCTAGCGGGCACATTCCAGGGGCGCAGGGGGACGTGGGGGGCATCCCGGTTGCCCTTTTTATTCCGGCTACCTGAAGATGATAAATAACGGCAGCCACACGAAAATGGGACATCGCTCTTCAGGATCTCTCTGCAGAGTGGCTCATTCCTTTTGGTGGGGTGCTTCTTGGAGCCCAGATCACACATCCCCACAGAAAACTCTAGCCCGGCCGCGCTGGGTGCTGTAGCCCCAGCCCAGGGATTTGAGAAATTGCACGCTCTAGGCTCTGCGGAGACATGGCCCTGCCCTGGGGTGGCAGCGTCCGGACACCCCTCCGGGCCGGTCTGTGCAGGACAGGTGGGCTGCCCGGTGGGAGGGGCGCGCAGGGTCGCCCTAGGCCTTGTCTTGCTGATGGAACTGGAAGTGTGCTCAGGCCCAGGGCCTTGTGCAGCCATAGCAGGACCCTGGGCCCGGGTTCTCTGTGTCTGTGCCCAGCCCGGCTGCTGACCCCAGCAAGCGTGTCCCCTGCTGTCTCCCTCTGCAGGCACCCAGCAACGCATGAGGCCCTTCTTCAGCATCCCACCGCTCAGCCGCGGGCCTCACCCTGGCCATGGCGAGACCTCTGCCCGTGCGCTCCTGATGCCCCTGGGCCCAGGCTGGGGGTGGTGGGCCCTCCAATGGCGGGCACCTGTCCCGGAGGCCACACTGCTCCCTGTCAGACTCTCCGTGGTTCCGACTCCCGGATTCGGGGTGGCCGGAGAAGTTGGTGGGGAAGAGGGGCTTCTTCTCCATCACAGGCAAATTCTGAAATGCAGTGAAAAACAGTATCGCTATAATTAAGTGTTCCAAAGCGCTTAGCTTGCCACTTGCTAAGTTTACTTAACCCTCTTTAACGGGTTCATTAGAAGCCGGTGAGCACCGGGAAATTCATCAACAGGAAGGCGGCCCCTGCGTTTGCCTGTAAATTGGTATTGATCAGTCTGGGTGGAGGCCGGGTGGAGGCCGGGTGGAGGCCAGGTGGAGGCCGGGCGTGGGCCACAGAGAGCCAGGTGTGCCTGGGCCGCGTCGCTGGCCGGGTGGCAGTGCTCGGTGGAGCCGCCCGCTGGTGCGAGCATCTTTTCAGGCGGCCACGGCAGAGGTGGCAACATGTCAGGGGTGCAGAGGGGAGGGAGAGGGCGAAGCAGGGAGGGAGAGAGCCGGAGGGGGAGGAGGTGGCCGGAGAGGGGAAGAAGGAGCTGGCTCTAGTCCCCCGCCCAGCCAGGCCCAAGAGCAGAAGGGGCTGGTGGAGGCAAGGACCACCTCCCAGTCGCTCCCAGCCACCCTCTGGAGATGCAGCATCCACCTGTCACACGTGTCTTCAAAGACAGAGGCATGACTGAGCCCTGCCCGCGAGGGCTCTGGTTCCTGGGAGGCAGAACCACCAGGGACCTGCCCAGGAAGCTGCCAGCTGCCCAGGTAAGGCCTGTCCGCTGCTTGGGTCTCCTGGCGCACCCATCTGGGCTTATGGCGTGTGGTGCTGGGCTCCCCGTGGGCTCTGGCCACCCTGCCCCCCATCACTCATGGTGGGCTCCTTCTGAGCTGCGGTGCCTTCGCTCCGGCCTCCCTGTGCACTTGGCTGGGACAAGGTGCCCAGATGGAGAGGGAGGGTGCTGGCTGAGGCTCGGCACGTCTCTGAGAGGAAACGGCACATCTTTCTCCGGGGTGAGGGTGGGAGGTGGCAGCCTGGGTCCTTGCTTTTCTTGTTCCACTGACGCAAAACCAGATAACTGTGGGGCGAGTGAAGGGATTCTTGAGACGGTGGAGCGGGCTGTCTGCTTCTGCCCTTCCTAACGGTGTGTGCGTGCGCTTGGGAGCACAGAGAGCGGGATGGAGTGGGCACAGAGGCCAGGCTCGCTGGGCAGAGCTGGAGGGCACGGCGTGCCGGCCCCACGCACACAGAGGGCTCCAGGGTGTGCATCCAGGCAGAAGCCCCACGGCCTTGGTGGGTCCCCTTCCCCAAGCCTGCGTAGCCATCCAGACTGAACTACCCGCTTGGGGAACATACTTCTTTATATGCCCATATGGACCTGCGGAGCTATGGAATGTAAAGAAGTATGTATTTCAGGTGGGGAACTCTCACCCGCAGGGTCGCCCGGCGGAGAGACAGACAGTCAGCCAGCCGGGCAGGCGGCTGTGGCTGGGGCGAGGGCCTCTGTGGCAGGCTGCCGGGGCATCAGTGGACGGCCCTGTCCCCTACCGGCATTGTTCTGTCACTTTGCCTGTGTCAGCAGGTGGAGGCGTTCGTCAGACATTAAATATTCAACGTGCTGACTGCGGCAGAGGGAAGGTGGCCCCGTGGCAGGCGTGGGGTCCAGCGCAGGGGCTGGGGGGGCCAGGGCGGGGGGCCTGGGCTTGGGAACGTAGGGTGCCCGTGGCTCGGGGGCCTCACTTCCAGACACCCTCAAAGGGGTCATTCGCCAGTAGAAAGGGCTGTTTGTGCAGCAGGGGCAGAAAGCTGCTCCCAGGCACAAGGAAATCTGCGTGTCCCCAAAGGGTCAGGGAGCCAGGCCAGGCAAGGAAAGGAAAGAGGGAAGGGGCTCCTGCAGCCACGTAGGGATGCCCCTCAGGGGAAACACACCTCCCTGGCTCCCAGGGGCTGCACTGTGAGGCAGAGGTGAGGGTGCCATGCGGTTCAGCCTCTTAGGGTCAGGCCCAGGGCAGCAGCGGGGTCAGAGATACCTGCAGCCCCAGGCCCCCACTCCTGCCTCTGAGACACCCGAGCCCCGGACCCCAAGGGCACCCTGACAGAGACCATGGGGGCTGAGTGTGGCTGGCCCTGAGTCCGCCTCCCCACCTGGTCCTGCCCCCCACCCCCACACCAGCCCGAGCCCCACGCTGCTCTTTGCCGTGTTTGCTGTGAAGGCTGGCGAGGTCTCCCTGGCCTGCTTAGTGTGACAGCCGCGGGTAGGAGCCCGGAGCCCTGCTGCCTGCTCTGCCCCCGTCCAGGTCCTGGCTGGGAGCAGAGGCAGGGCTGGGGTCCCGTGGGCCCCACGGCGGGACCGTGATGGCCAGGAGATGAAGACAGATGCTCTATCTGGTCTCCACTGTGCTGGTCCTTCTCCAGTGAGGCAGAGGGCGGAAGGGCTGGGCTGCTGTGGGAGGGCACCTGGGCCGGTTTCTGGCCCTCGATGTGGGGTGAGGCCAGTGTGTCTGCCCAGGGCACGTCCGCCTCAGGCTCAGGGCTATTTTTCCAATGCATGTGTCATCTCTGCTTTTCTGGGCGTCCTTGGCATTGCTGGCCTGGGCCATGGCAGGTGCCCCAGCCCCTCCCACACCCTGACCTTTGGCAGGAAGGCGGCTCTCGTGTTGGGGGTGGGACAGGGATGGGCGGGCAAGCAGGCCGCCTCCTCCAGCTGCTGGAAGCACTGGGTCTGGGGGCAGACAGGATCCCTGAGCCACTGAGGTCCCGCCCAGGAGCCTGGGGACAGGCAGACACAGGCAGTTCCAAGCTCGCCCGTGGCTCCCAGCTCCCAGGGGGTTGACTGTAGTTGAGGGCCGCTCCAACGGCACCCATAGCTGGGAGGTAGGATTGTCCTTGGGCACTGCCTTCCTTCCGGCCACTGGGCCCAGAGGGGAACGTGTCCAGCGTCCCCGGGAAGGTCATCTTTGCCCGATGCTTCCAGCTCCGGCCACAGCGGGGGAGGTAGCAGAGCACATGGCCACCAGGGCTGGCCGCAGACATGCGGCTCTTCCCCCAGATGCATCCCAATGTGCATTATGGCTTTACTGCAGGATGTGGTGTTTAAATAAAAGCATTAGTGTTTGGGAATTAGGTTTGACTGAGCAGTAAAGCTAGGGAGTTCGCAGGGAGAGAGCTGTAAATTGCCACCCGTCTCTTGATTGGCCAAAATAAGAACGGGCAGCACTTGGACGCCTCCCCGTGGGAGCCCCGGGGGCGGCTGGAATTTTCTGTCCATGAAGCTACTGCTCTTGGCTCCGGGGGGAGCCGGAGAGGGAACCCAGAGCAGGCGTGGCTTCTGCGTTGGGTCGTTGGGTCTTTCTGTGGGGAAAGGAGAGACCGGCAGGACCGTGTGGTGCTCTCCCAGAGGGCCTTCCCTGGAGGGCCTGCCACCCAGAGAGCCTGCCATGGGGGCTCCGGGACTCTTTCAGAGGAAGCGGGGTCTGGGGTGTGCCTGGGGGGGTCAAAGCCCCACCCTCGTAGGACTTGCTCGCCAACTTGGGGACCCAGGTGCTTTTGTGAGGCTGTGGGGAGACTTTGAGGCTGGGAGGGGAGGCCGGTGCCCCTTTCTCTGAGCTCTTGGAGCAGGGACGCCCCCGGGTTTCCCGGAGCACTTGGAAAACCTTTGCAGTCCGACGGCAGGCCCAGGTTCTGCAGGTGCAAATGGTAGCTCTGAGGACCGTGGCGCTCCTAATTTCAGCGCGTCAAAGTGGCTCGACTCCTGCGGGCGACGGCTCACAAAATCCAGGCACGCTGCGCGCCAGGGGGTCGGGAGGGCGGGGGCGGCCCCGTCGTGCCAGGTGCGTGTGTCTGCGTAGGCCACAAACTCTCTTCGGTGTCTGCAGCCAGGTGGCATCTGCTTCCAAAGAGGGTGTGCTTGTTTCTCTGGTTGGACGGCGCACTCACCACAGGCAAGAAAGCATTTTCCTGCACAAGGTTTTCAAAGGGGGGGCGGCCCTGCTGAAAGCATCTGTGGGGGGCATTAGGAATGTCTCGGAAAACCCTAGCTCATGTGGGAAAGGCTGGACCGAGGAGCAACTGCATGATCAGGCTGACCAGCAGGATGATGTTTTAGGTGCCGCAGCCTGTCAATCAAACTGAACAGTGCTTGACTTGCAGATCCCCATCCCCATCCCCCCCGCCCCGGCCTAAATGAGCACGGGGAGGACCTGAGCAATCCTTAGGGCCAGGCATAGCCCAGAAAGATGGAGCCTGGAGGGGTTTGCAGGACAGAAGGTGGACGGGTTGGGGGCGGGGCCAGCGGGAGGGGCGTGGCCAGAGGGGGCGGGGCCAGCGCGATTGCATTAATTGTGCCACCTTAGCATAAAGGGTAACGGCTGGGCGTCCGTCAGAGCAGCTTGTGCTGACTCAGCCTTGCTGGCTGGCCGCACGTCCCATTGCAGAGGGCCTCCGCTCACGGCTTCACTCCCTGCCTTTGACGCCCACTGCTCTTTAGGGTGTCCAGGCCTGGGGTCAGTGCTGCTGGGACAGGGGGCTCGGGGACGAGAGCGCGGGGCTTTCTGGGGCACCCTGGCCTCGCCCGCTGCCCTTGGCCCACCAGCAGCCAGCCTGGGATGGGAAGAGGGTGGTGTGACTCTCGGGAAGAGAAGGGGTCCCAGGCACAGTGTGAGTGGCCCCCAGGAGCTCCCATGGTCTGCTCCCGCCTGCATCCGGCTGCGGGACTCTCTCAACGGGCCCTGCAAGGCCCAGCACCTGGCTGGCCGGAGCTTGGGGCCACTCCTGGGCTGCACTCCTGGGTCCCGCGTGGGGACGGCCTACACTGCTGGCTCCGACCAGGGAAGGCCTGCCCGCCCTGCGGCGGGGGGCTGCCGCAGCCGAGGTGGTGGCTGAGCGGGGCATGCTGCGCATCTCAAGGGCAGGGCCGGGAGGGCCATCTGTGACAGCCTAGCGGCTGCTCCTTAAGTGCAGAAACCCGGGGTGATGGGTCCTGCACAGGGGCAGGGCGTGGGTGCCTGCTCCCTGGCGCATGCCATCCGCCTCGGTTTTCAGAGGCCCAGGTCTGCTTCCTGTGCTGGGGCGGGGGGTCCGATGGGGCGTATGTGACGGGCCAGGGCCACCTGGCACAGAGGCCCCTCCCCGGCCCCCGGGGTCCGGCCCAGGAAAGAAGGCCCCACTGCCCCAGTGCTGGCTGGCAAGGTCACTGGCTTTTCCCCACCCAGGGGAGCGGACCCCCAAAGGGTCTGCTGGTGGAGAGTCTGGGGTCACTCCCCTGGGATCACACGTCCAGCTCGGGGCATAGAGGACAGCGCAGGACAGGAGGTTCTGGGACTAGAGTATTTTTAACAGCAGGGGGGAAGGCAGCTGTCCGGGAACCTGTCACGGGGGACGGGGGAGGACGGACTTGGTGGGGATGGTTGGAGGTTGAAGGACACCCAGGACAGACGCCCTGTTTTGGGTCCTTGTCCCCCTGGCAGGCCTGCCTGCCGTCCGTCATGCCCACATATGGCGCCCGGGCTGTGTGTCTCTGCGGCTGCCCGCCCGCCTTGGCTGGTATAAATAGTGTACATTCTCAGCTGTCCTGCTGGAGAGGCTGAACTCAGATGACTCGGGGCCGGGGGAGGCCCAGGGTGGCCTCCCCGCACCCCGGCCACCACCCCGGTGCCCAGGAGCGGCCGCAGGGGCAGCGGGCACAGGCTGGGCGGGGCTCGGAGCCCTGTCCCCTCCTCACCCACCCCCTTCATGGGTGCCAAGGCCAGGCGGGACCCGGAGACCTCCT